TTCTTTTGGAAGGTGCTCTAAAAAATTTTATGTACCTCAATTTCGGAATTTGTAGAAGATTTCAAGCTTGCATTGGTTCTAGAATTGGAGTCATCTTTTTTAATGCACTTTTTATATTTCCAAGTAATGTTTTGAGGATGTCCAATTCATGGAGTGAGGAAGTGTTTTGATTTCTTCTTGATGAGTTGTGGTGCTCACAAGTGTTGATGAATGTGCGGGTGGGAAAGCTAAATCTAGTAAGAAGTTGCACCTATCCTTGTATATAATTCTATAATAGAACTCAGGTGTCTCTTCTTCAAAAGTGACGTCAATAGAAATAAAAAGTTTTATGTAGTGGATAATAACGCTCATTACAATTTGTCAGGTGATGAGCAAACGACAAAGATACAGTTGATTTTGTTAGGAAATTCTTTCACTTTATTATTTCTATGAATATTCACAAAAGTGTCACAATAAATGATTCATATTATAGGATTATCTGTGATGTTAAATTGTAATTTAACTAAGAACTTCCATGGGTATTCTGAACTTAAGTTATTGAGTCGAGTTTGAGCAAGCCCAGTTCTATTTGTTCGCCTTGTTTAATTTTTTTTTTTTTTAGTATTCGACTTGTGGTCAGAGTGGCTTGTGCAGAGCTTATTCGTGTTCGGTTCAATTCAAATGAGCTTGTTTGAGTTAAGCTCTTATTTGGCTCGGCTCAAACTTAATTTTCTCATTTCATGAGATTAAAAAATGTGATTAATTATTTTATCATTATTCAATTTAAAAATATATATTTTATTAAACCTAATCTGAAATTCAGACAGTTCATTTTTTTCCTGGCATTGAAGAGCTTTTTGGCTTAATAAAGACTCTTCTCACAAATATATCCTGTCATTCCCGATGTGAGATAGAAGATTGCTTGGATTATGCGTGGTCCCCACTCTCATCGTTATTACATGCATAGTTGCAAGACCAAGATAAATTTTTTTTGGATAATTTACATGCATACCAGTCTAATCCTGTGTATTTATATTCCTAACACCTTAATTAGCAGGGAAGAGACAGTGGGGCGGGATTTTTAGCATTTTTTGGAGCATTTACATACAAACCAATCAAATCTTATGTATTTGCATATTTAACACCTAAAATTATAATTTTTATAATTATATCACCCAAATAATTTTTAAAAAATAATAAAATTTGGCATTTTTTAAATTCGATATAAAAATGAATATAAATAAACATATAGAAAATAATAATATTATTTATATATTTAGTTATTTAGAGTCAAAACGAGCAGAGCACGAACGAGAACAAACTTTTGTTTGTGTTCGACTTGTAATCGAGCTCAAAAAATTTTATTCTGTTTAATTTGCTTGCTTAACGAACAAATCGAACACAAGCCGAACGCAAGCTGCTCACGAACAATAAACCTTTTGGACTGCCCTAGTTGTAAGGCTTCCTCTCCCTAAATATGATTTTTAAACATTGTATTGGAATAACAAGACTTAATTGTGGTTGGTAAGCGATTATTTCTTCTTTCTACTTTCTCATTTTATTGAGGAGCATTAATTCATAAAGATTCATAATTAATCCTTTTTTAATGTCTTTGGATGGGGCCTCAGTTAAAATAATGCTTCGAGTTAGATCAAAATTTTTTTTGAGCTCAATTGGACCGTGAATCATATTATGAAAAATGAAAATATGGCTGATAGTTGTGGGCTCTGAAAATTCTGACCACTCTTTTCATTTCTTTTTTTTTATTTTATTGAGAGAGCTTTGGAGGGTCAAATTTAAAAAAAACAGATTGGATTAAGACACTGCCTAGAGATTTTGCCTTTATTTTGCGAGGACTTTTTGATCTAGGATTCGAGGTTTCCTATAGGCGCAATCCCCTATGATTAATTATCTCTCTTGATAACAGGAAGAATCTTTCGATTAAGACTAGTCATTAATATTTGAGTATTCAATATATAATAACAACAGACATAAAATAAGTTGTAAAAAATGCTTAATGCGAATAGTGGGGAATGAAGACGAAACTCGAACAAAGTTATATGGTTTCGTTATCTCGGGTCGTCATCGTCCCTGATCTACTTAGTCATAGGTGGTAATCGACCGAACCGTACAGAAGTATTCTTGTTAGCAACCATGAGTTGCGTCGTTCAAGATATTTTTGTGGATCTGGGGTAGATATTTGTTTAAGGGGATAAATTTACGTTGACCATAGCTAACAAAAAATTTTGTGCAAATCAATTGTACTCTTACTATTCGCAACTCAAATGGTATAAAGTCGTTGAGGAGCATACATGCTACGACCGTGACCGTAATATAATGGTGTTATTTGGCGGCAACTACCCAGTCAAAGGGCTCTAGTGGTCACCACTACTTTGTGATGTCATTTGGCGACAAGACCACGCAGACAAAGGGCTCAGATCATGTCATTACTAACATGCAATTATTTTGATTGTGAATATAGAGATACGTTAAATATTAGCTCTTTGCGAACTAAAATTAATCAAAAATTGGTCATCCATGACAAACTGTTGCAGAAAGCGGACAAAGTTTGCTTTTATCTTTTAAGTAATTGAATTTTAGCTTCAATTTTAGTTAGTTATTTTGAAAATATTGATTTTAAAGATTAACCACTTTGGTTGAAATCTTCAATCAACACGACTATCATCTATCATCTATTATCGGAGAGTTAACTTTAGAACTTTTATATCTAAAGGGGGACATTAGTTTTGTAAGTTATGAGTCTTGTCCACTCCTGGCCTGACAAGGAGAATGATCGGATTAGGTGATTTAGGCTTGTAAATTTTTATTTTAGGATTTGGACATTTATTTAAAAAAAAAACTAAACTTGTCAACTCGAGTCCTTGTTAAGAGGAGGATCAGACAAGTTAAGTAAGATTTACGAAGCAACCTATCATATAGACAAGAAGACCCGATTAGTCTGCGCAAAATTCTCGAGCCTAATATTCGAGCGTTCAATACATTGGTTGGAGCACATATAGGCATTTAAATTTCACATATTCGAATATTTAAGATGACTTTACATACCATAAGGCGATTTGCATAAATTCAAAGCATGAATTGAATCACATGTAAGAATTGAATTTATATAAATTTGCCTTATTTGAATGAATATATTGATGCATGTAGAGGTTCACCTTAAGCTTTGTAAAATATTGCCTTCCGTTTGCTTATGAACATGTTGCAAATATGGTGGTGAGGGTTTTAAAATTTCAAAATTTTTGAACCCTATGAGCCTAAATTTAAAAGCCCAAACCTTAAAATATTTTAAATCCTAAAGAGCCTAAATCTCAAATATCCTAGACTTCATTACTTTTAAAATCCTAAGAGTCTTTGTTTTAAAAGCTTGAAATTTTAAATTAATTTAAAATAAAAATGAGTCATATTTTATTTTATTTTATTTTATAAGTCCAAAATTCCAAATATTTTAGGTGATTACAATTCTAAATCATCCAAAAGTTCGGCAGCCTCATGGTGTCAACCCAGTTTTGAAAAATGTCAGTCTTCCCAATTGTCTTAAAATATGCGTTGATCATTATCGTGAGACACTGCGGTCAAGGAGAAAAAATATAAATTTAACCCGTGATCTTAAAAGACACAACGGACCTTTAATGCATCTGCACAAAAAATTAGATTGCAAACGTTACTCAATTCCCCAAACCAACATTTCTCAAACGGTACGTTACTTTCCCCAAACGGTACTTTACTCCCATGGACTGGTGTTTTAAATAAACCCAATTTTAAAAAGTTATTACAAATGAGTGTGATTTTCCTCTAACGGTACTTCAGTGGATATTTTAAAAATTGTTACATTGCCCCAAAATTATACTTTTTGAGCTCCAACCTTGATAATGGCGGTGAAGCCAATAAAATAAAAATATAACACAGATATTTCTTTCTTTTTTTATTACAACAATGCACAATAATGAAATAAAATGGAAATTAAAACAAAATAAATAAACAAAATAAATAGTGAAATGGCTCTGGTAGATGCTCGGGTAGGGCAGGAAATTATCAGGTCATGCTCAAATAAAGAGCGGCTCCGTGTGAAGCGAACAACAAGGATTTAAAGCAAGGAACGTAGAGCTGAGCAGGGCAAAGCAGGCTGGGGTCTTGGTGTGTTCGGCAACTTTGTGTGGGGAGACTATCAGAATTGCGAGCTTCAGGCCAAGGGAGGAGATCGCGCAGGGTATACGGTAGGGGAAGCACCGAGCGGTGGAGCAGCACTGTCCAGAGCATGCGGCGGCTTTGGTGTGCGAATATGGAGGTCCGTGCGGTTCTGGGGGCACAATAGGGAAGAGCACAGAGGAATTCGGTAGGCTAGGACGTCGTGAGGGAAGATCACAGCAGGCTAGGGCGTCGTGAGGGAGAAAGGATCTGCTCGCATCAACCTTTTATCTAACCAGGAAAAACTTGAAAACTTTAGTGAAATTGTTGTTGAAAGAAACAAATTACATACTATCAAATTCATTAGCAAAGGGATCCCATGTGTCCTTCGTAATAAAATAAAAGAAAATATAACTCTTTTTCAGTACTTGTTGGGAAAGACAAACCTTCATATTTTGTAAACATACGCATAATGGGGAATTACAAAGAGAATTAAGTTGGCTTTTAAAATTCATATTGAATGGTGAGCAAGTTCACCCATATGATTTTTTTTTTCTTAACTTTAATGAGAAGGAAAGATAAAGGCAGTCCATTCTTTACATTCTTTAATTTGATATTTCAAGTAATAGAGTCCGTGCGTTTCTTTAGTCTGATTATTGTCTCTTTCCGTCAATCTTGAAATTCACAAGGTTTTTATAGTTGAGTTTTGGAGTTCCAAGCGCCAATGAAAGCATTGGTTTTCTCGGAATTTGAACAATACGAACAATGTTTACAAGATGAATCTTTTGTTGTAATGTTTTGTTATTCAAATATTTTTCCTCGCAGCTCAACTCTTTTAATTCACTCTAAATCTTTCTTTTCTCTATGTTTTACAGGCTGAGCCTTTCTGACAACTTACTCCATTCCATTCAAGATAAAATCAAATGGGCTGATAACATGAGTGAATACCACAAAAAACATCGGAAAGAAATTGAAGACAAGGTGGAAGATGTGAAGAAGTCGCTGAAGGTGAGCTGAGTTACATACGCTGCTATATCTATTTTTAGGAAATTTACATACCTACCTCCTAATTCTTTTGTATTTACACATTCATCACCCAAAATCTGATATTTACACTTGTAGCACCTTGGTGTTAAAAACTTATGCATGAAAAAATATATTTCGATTTTTAAAAGATAACGATGGTGGCATTTTTATGTGATGTTAAGGTTTTGAGCGGCATGCATGTAAATATGAATGCTTAGGCGTTAGAAATGTAAATATATAATAATTTTGGTGTTTATGTAAATGTCCCATTTTTTTTTTTCCTTATTTTGATTCCTCAAGGCGCAATATTAACCATGTTAGAAGTAAACACGAGGTAGTTTCATCACCATATAGGGAAATTTATCTACACAGCACAAAATTCTTATGTATCTACATATCTCGCACCCAACTCTTCATATTTACATGCATAACAATCAAATTTTTAATACCACATCAAAAATAGAACTATTGCCTGCCACTTTTTAAAAGTGACATATAAAAGTTATATTTTCTTATGTGATATAAAAAATTTGATTGCTATACGTGTAAATATGAAAGTTTAGATGCGACATACGTAAACACAAAAAAATTGTGTGCTATGTACATAAATGCCCCATATGTATATATGTAAAGACATTTAGCAGCGCAAAAATATTAAACCTGCGTATGAAAAGCACTGTTGGTCGATGTATCTTACTTACATGATGGCAGAAGTTGCACACTTTAAGCAGGCCGACTTGGACTTACGAGGGCACGACGAGATCCTCTTCTCTGATTCTGGAGGACTAATGGAATACGAGGAGGATCGGGTCCGCTCTAAAAGGTATTTGTTTTTTTATTTTGTTACATATTTTTGTTCTAACTAGATGTGATAGAAAGTGGCAATTCTCCTGTCAATGTAAGCATTGACATTCAACTAGATCACAAATGAACAAATTTTATCTTTTTGAAAATATAGTCGGGTTAGAATGTAATTTGTATCATGTAATTGGATTTTATTTCAATATTTGTTATGATCTACTTCTATTGACGACAGCCAATGAATGGGTAATTTTTTTGCAGGAGACGACAGCCAATGCCATAGAGATTTGTTTTGAATGAAATTCAGATTTGCCCTCAAGTTCAATGTTTTTTTTTTTTAGGGGGTGGCAGCGGCATTTATGAATTGTTTGCTCTTTTTGTTGGCAACGTTTATAAATTATTTTGAGTTCGTCATAGTTATATAAATTTGCATCGTGTTTTAATCGAGTTTGAATGATGGGAACTCCATTTAATTGTTTATGTGTTTGGTCAATTTTATTTTAATTTTTTTAGCTTTTTTTTTTAAGTGTTAAAATTCATCTATTTGCATGGTCAATTTCAAAGCTCGAGTTTTTTTACTGCATTGAAATTGTGGTTTTCATCATTTTTCGTATTTTATTGTAATAACGGTAATATATTTGAAATTCTAATAAATTTAATATGCCCTGATAAATGAAAAATATATTGTATCAGGATTCCGCATGTAGAGTTATGTGCGAAGTTCAATGAAATAATGTCACCTGGAGGTGATACCAAAAAAAAAAATTGGTCTGGTTAAATGGGAATATCCCTCCTGTATTATTCTGTGTTATTCATGTGATATTATATATTATTCAGGTGTTATTGTGTTCTGGGAATATTTTCAGTGTTATAATAACACAATAATGTATCAATAATGTTTTAATAACACTTGAATAATATATAATAACACCTGAAAATCATATTCATTTGTCTTACCGTGTAGATTTTTTTTTTTCTAACACCGTCACGCGTAATTTCATTGAACTCTGCATGTAACTCTACGTATGGAGTCTTGATGCAATATTTTCTCCTTAGAAACCTGAGTCAAAAAGGCTTGTTTGGGATTGGAACGAAGTGGGGTTTAATATTTTATTTATATGAAAAATATATTATGTACTTTAATTTTTATTTTTTTAATATTTTTAAGTTTATAGCAATTATCGATATCTGAGTTAGAAAATGCAGGCATAGGCTTTTGTGTAAAATATTACGTCCTTCCTTCCAGAATATGAATGTCGATGATGAGTATATTTCAAAATATTAATCGTAATCGGTTGTTTGTGAACAATTCGTGTACGGTTCGTTGAGCAGTTCATGATTGATTCGTTCGTTAAATAAATGAGTTGAATGTGAATAAAAATATGTCCTTCCCTGTTTGGTTTTTTTTTTTTTTTTGGTCCGAAATAATTATATATAAAATTTATGAATAGTATTTTTAAAATTATTTATTAATAAATAAATTAATAATATTTAAAATTCTTCTCAACCCTTAACATTACTGCGTGATTAGAGTTGTCAAAATGACTCTTTGTTAGCGAACATCTCATATTCGGCTCTGTAACCAAACGAGCCGAACACACATTTTCTGTGTTTGAAATGCAAATGAAACAAATGTGAATAGTGGTATTTTTCAATGAGTTGAAGAAGAGCTCAATATGGTTTCGCTCGTGTTCAGTTCATTAACACCCCTAAAAGCTACCTTTTTATGGATGTAAATAATCACTCTGGGCTATTATTTTTTAAAAAATTTTACATCCGGACTCCATATGTTTGGACAATGGCTCGGATGCAGCAGAGGAGCGAAGGAATCAAATCTACTCCCTCCTCGCTGCTTCCGGGCCGTTGTCTCCGGATGTAAAATTTTCTCATTGTTTTGGGAGCTCGAATGCCGTGAGCTTTCTTGCGTTGCGCTTGTACTGTTCGACCTTTTTAATAGTTGCTAATATTAAATGCCAAAATTTACAAATAAAGCCCACGGTTCTTATGTATTTATAAATCGCAAACTTAAATTTTTATATTTAAATAGCATTTTGGTGCAGTGAACTCATGCAAGAAAAAATATATTTTATTTTTAAAAAAATGAAAATAGTGTTATTTCTTATTTAACACGAAAGTTTTGAATGTTATACGTGTAAATATGAAAGTTTACGCGTGAGAGACAAAAACACATAAGAATTGTGAGCTATGTATGTAAATACCCCTATTAAATTTTAATAATATTTAAAATAATAATAAGCAATTTTATACTTTACATCCTTAACATATAAACTCTTTTGCTCTGCTTGCTCCATTGCTCTCCATTCATTTAAACCCGTCAATCACAAGAAATTATGTGTATGCCGCTCTACTCCCATTATTTCCTTATCCTCCATTGCTCTATATTTAATTAAAAATCAGACAAACAAAAATAAAAAAAATTGAAATAAAATTCAACGCTCCATTAAATTAAATCGTCTCAATTTTCCTCGGCATTCCGTCTCTTAAATGATGCGAATGTGGATTTAGAATATCCGATTGTGAGGTGGATTTATTACGTCGTTGCTCGTGCGCTCCTCTGTCGCATTCTTACTTTCGTAAATCCAAATTTATATAATCCGATAAGTCTTATTTAACGTAAAGCTTAGTTGTAGTCAAACGCAGCCTGAAGCTGCCGAGACGCATCAAAAGTGTTGGAATTTCTTGAGAACAGACATATTATCAAAACTTGTTGATCATAGAACATGAGAGGAAAATGTGGATTCTATAATATAATATCGCCAAAGTACTTTAGTGGCTTTGCAATCTCTCATGCCAAAGCAGTTGTAACTAGGTTCAGACAGCCCTTCTTGAACACACTTCACAGAGTCCCCAATATGTAATGAACATACAAGCACAGTGTGTGACAGGGAACAAATCAGAGAATGGTGGAATCGACGGCTTGGATGTTCAACCACAAGGCTGGAGATAGACCGTCGACGGCGAGATACGCAGGGCGGAGATGGTGTCATCAACGACTGTGTGTGGAAAAACTGTTAAGCTTGAATGCATCCAAACTTCATGTACAATAATGTTGTATACTATTGTACACATTGTGTACAATATTATATAATAATATTGTATATAGAGTTTGGACATAGCCGGATGTCATACGTAATACTCTCTCGTGTGTGTTGGTTGATGGTGATAATGAGAGTGATACTTTGAAAGGACAAAATGTTTTGATGTTAAAAAAATGTTTTAGGTGACACGAGCATGTAAGAACCCCAAATAAATAATGTGGATATCAATCATGACATTCTTATGAAACATTTTTTCTGCGACAATGATTTGTGAAATTCATCAATTATACTAATTTTCACTGAAACATTCTACATATTTTCATGATCTACATCAAATAAGGCCCATATTATATCCATTCTAATAATGATTGGGCTGCAGTATTTTCTTGAATATGAACTTGGGCTATTGAATTATTGAATTTTGTATGAGATGGAATGTGAAAGAAATATATGTTGCAATCATTTAAAAGTGAATTCACCATGCTGTGCTGGCTAAGAAAATAAAGAATGAATTCAAAATCTTGATTAGAAATTTAATTCAATTTATGAAGAAAAATTCATATTGCACCTTATATATTGAATATTTGACAAAAATTACAGAAATTTTAGCTTATTATAACCCATAAAATAAACAATAATTCAATACTTTTGGTTGTTGGGTAGTGGTTGGCTCAAGAATAGTTACATTAAGTCCTCAAATTTGTTAATCAGCTCCATCAAAATGTTCAAATGATTAAATAAAGCCGTAATAATATTTATGTATTTATCATATTGTTAGGGCAAAAATTTGATAATACGAGCTTCCATCCTAGCATTTTTCAAAATTGTAAAGATAAGCTCTTCTTTTGGCTTTGATGGTAGTTAGCATCCACAGAGTTATTGCCTTCCATCATGACTTTAATACCTTCTAGAGCTTTGTTTTATGTATCTTCATGATCTTTCAAATGTTATGTTTTTGAAGATAGGCCATCATTATTATTATTATTATTATTATTATTATTATTATTTTGGTAAATTTACATATGAAGTTCACAATTCCTATGTATTTATATATCTTACACCTATATATGAACACCTATACATACATATTCATATACATAGCACTTTGGTAAGTTGGTTCTTTAAACTTATGCATGAAAATGTACATTCCACTTTTATAGAGTAATAATAGTGCTATATTTGACGTGATATTAAAGGTTTGAGTTCTATATGTGTAAATATGAAAGTTTAGGTGTGAGATATCTAAATACACAAGCATTGTGTGCTATATTGTAAATGTCCTCTTTTCTTACTAAGTTTCATGGGCTCGAAGCTTTTTGGGCCGTCAACTTAAAAGTTACAAAAAAAAAAAAAAAAAAACACCAAAGTTAACATTGAAAGGCTAATTTTTCTTCAAGATGTGAGACTAAAAAATAGTGAGTGTTGCATATGAAATGGGTTTCAAAAATGAAAAATTGTCCTGTGGTTTGTATATATATATATTTATATTATAAAACATTATTATTCTTATAAATTATTCTAAACAATACTATTTGTATAAATTATGTTGCAACTATAAATTATTTTTAATATTTATATTTCTCTATTATATTTATTTTTTTTAATTTTTCAATTATATTTAACGTATATAAATATAGATTTATCTATTTATATTACATATATAGTCATATTTTGAAGTGCTTTACATCAAATTTTAAATTTTAAATTATTGAAATTTTACTTGTGCTGAAATTTTATTTTTCTTTGTTAAATATTTATCACGTATTTTATAGTTATATCAATTTTATTTAATTGAACTTTTATATCATAATTCTTCCACTCTTTCAATGATGCGCCCTTTCTCAATCCATTTTAGTATCTGAATTGCTTGAATGGTATTTATGAACGCTTATCGTTGAGTATCAAAACGGCTCGTTGTTCTTGAACTGCTTGCGTTCAGCCGGTTAAAAAGTTCGTGTTTAGTTTGTTCGCTAAGTTAACGAGCTAAACACGAACAAAAAAATTGTTTATTCATGTTCGGCTCGTTTTGGCTCGAAATACTACTCATCAATTATATTTATATATATATTGATGAATATTATTTTTAAAAAATTTAATTGACTGCAAGACTACAGAAATTTATAATAAATTAAAAGTATTAATTTAAAAAATAGAATAAAAAATATTAAATTAGATTCAAATGATGTTTTAGTATAAATAATATTTTTTAAATCTTGTCACAATCCTTAACATATTATGGTGATGTGATTAGGGTTGTCAAACGAGCCGAACACGAACACACTTTATGAGCTCGAAATATAAACGATCCGAACACAATTGAGCCTCAGCTAGCTCATGTTCAACTCGTTTTTATCGGAGATTAAAATACAATTTTTTTTTCTAAATTTAAAATTTTCTTTTTTTGTGATGCAAATGGACTAAAATTTTGAAAAATAACATTAATAT